ACAATCCTATACCCTGGATTAAACTAAACCCTGGATTAAAGTACATCTTTCTCTCAAGCAAGTATGAAAATATGGCTTCACAAACATTTCCATCCCCTTTAGATAATAACAACTGTCTCTCAACAAAGTTTACCTGAATGTTGGAAGGTAATATGTTTCTGTGAGCCTTGTCCATAAACAGTAAAATATAATAATAAACCAAATCATAGGATTTCAAAATTTTCACTTATTAGATGGATGGTTGTAATCTTTTTTAGTGATAATTCTTATGGCTCTTACTTATTTGAGCGTCAAACTGGTTCAAGATGGCCGCCAGAGCTAAGCAACCAAATGGATWTCACTCAGTCGTTACAAATACTGAGCTCAAATTAGACGTAGTAATACCTGAGAGTCAACCCCGACACWTACTACGAGTGTTGACAAATAATCTTTATTTAGAACTCTCTTTAACCACTGGAATCAACTCAGTTTGACTGACAGCAAAATGAACTARGGGACAGATTTTAATGAAACTTTCAAATAAAAAAAAAATGTATGGAGTCATTTCCAAATGGCTGCCACAGGTAACTAACCTTATCAAAACACATTAATGTCTATAATTCAGTGGGTTTTACAGAGATTGGGCTAAACTAAAGTGTGGTGGTGGGTAGCTGAGAATCATTCACAAAACATAAAGCTCTGGAAAAAGTTAAGAGACCACTGCACAGTTTCTCTGTATTTGGTTGAAAGTATTTCAGCAAACATTGATTTCTGAACTCTTCCTGAATTAAAACATTAGTTTTGTTGTTTCTAAATGAATATGAACTTGTTTTATGTGCACTATTTGAGGTCTGAAAGCACAGCATCTTTGTCGTCATTTTGACCATTTTTTCATTTTCTGCAAATAAATATTAAATTTTTGCTTGCAATTTCAGAGACTAAAACAGAATAAATAGCAGAATAAAATAACATATACCTATAAAGAGTAAAATCATAGAAACGGATCATTTTAAAGTGGTCTCTTAATTTTTTTCAGAGCTGTACTTTGAGTGTGACAACACACAATGAGATTAAATACAATGTTATTTTTTTTTACTAAAACTGCTATTTTTTCATGTTTCAACATAAAATGTCTCATACGTAAACAAAAAGGAATGTTAGATGTTTAATTTAATATCTACAAAACAGAAATGAATGCGACAACATTGTGCCTAAAGTCCTTTTATTGTGGTCATTACTTTAACAACAAGGCTTCATAATAAAAGCTTTTTTTTATTGGCATGRAACTAAGAAAGCAGCACCACTCCCAATGTTTGAAGTGTTCGGCTTCCTGGAAGCTCATTTTAAAAGTGTTCCTCTGTTGAAAATAGTAAAATCTTCAGAGTTACATAAGTGTAGCAGTTTTTGTGTGGAGTGAGGTGTGTGACAGTGTGAAAAATGAGGAAACAAAGAGTAAAAGATGTGGGCATTTGGCTGGGTCAGCTGGTGATGATGTGCCCCTGAGCTGGCAGGATGTGCCTGTGTTTGAGATAATTATCTGAACAGACTATCTAGCTCTTGTTCCAGACAACAGGGTGTGTCAGCTTTAAATGTCTGTTTAAAAATAATAATAATAATCCTCATATTTGTGTCCAAACAGCCCAGTCTATGAGACCTAATGTAGCTGCTGGGGGCTCTAACCTTGTTGGTAACCTTAACATTTTAAACCAAATGTCCAAACAGCCCAGTCTATGAGACCTAATGTAGCTGCTGGGGGCTCTAACCTTGTTGGTAACCTTAACATTTTAAACCAAACTCAACCTCTGTCAGAGAACTAGTCCTGTTTGGTGACAGGCTGCAGTTCTCTGTGACAACATCTAATAAAACGAGAGACGAGCAGTGATTTAAAAAGTCAAAGTCAGAGCAGTTAYAGAGTTCAGGACACGATGACCTGACCAGCAGCTGGCGGGTTCGCAGCTTTTATTCATCCTACAAAACACGTCTCTGACCTACACCGGAGTCAGACCGCATCAGACCGGCCCTCTACGGCCCGAGTCAGCCGCTGCTGGTGGATAACTTTGGCTTAATAAGTGTTTTTCATCTCCTACCTGGAGCCGGGCCACAGTCAGACAGTAGGTTGCCATTTTGTTCACTGACAAAGATGTGAGGGTCGCACGTGACGTCACGCGATTGTAAAGCACGTTTTTCTTCTTCTTCTGTTCCCAGCGGCGGCCATTTTGGTTTTACTGCCCCCTAGTGAAGAAAAACAAAAAGTTGTTTTATCTCTCTCTAAACAGCCATGATTGTATTTAAATTATTTGCAACGTGAGGAGTGTTGTTCGGCTTCAATACGTTCTTCTTTTTATGTCTTTGAAAAGTTTATTGCAAAAAATTATAATAACAATAATAAAATCAACAACAAACAATAAGAAAAAAGAAAAAAAATTGTGTAGGTCTTCTGGACGGGTTCATTTCTAATGAAACGTTTCGTCTCTTCTCCAAGAGACTTCTTCAGTCTGAGAGTTTCTGTTCAAAAGAATGTCCCAACACAGACGAGCTATATCTAATGGCCAGAACTCTGCAGTTTTCACTCATTTACAGGCCAGAGGTCACTCTTTCAGAGATGAGGATGTTCTCATTCTTGATAGAGAGGAACGTTGGTTTGAGAGAGGAGTAAAAGAAGCCATTTTTGTGAAGAAAGACCGTCCATCATTAAACAGAGGTGGAGGCCTCCGTTTTCAGTTGTCCCCCTCCTACAGTGTGGCCATTGCCAGTATCACTCCACCCCCTGCTAACGATAAGTGTTAATTAGGTGTCAGCGATAGCCATGTGATGTGAGTATCAGTCACKTGGAGGCAGGGCTTAAAAGCCTGAATTTTGCCTGAAACTCTCAGACTGAAGAAGTCTCTTGGAGGAGAGACGKAACYTTTCATTAGAGAAGAACCCGTCCAGAAGACCTACACAATTTTTTTCTTTTTGATTTTTTACCTGGATTACTGAGATGCATCAGGACAACAAACAATAAGAAACACAAAATGATACTATAACACAAAATAACTAACTCACTAACGACATTTTGGAGAAGGGTATTTTTAAGAAAGCATTAAGTAATTACCTAGGATGATAAACTATAACTAATCCTGTGATGAACTTGCGACGTGACGTACCTCCCCCCTCACACTGGGCACCAGTGACCCTGAAAAGAAAAAGCGGGTATAGACCGACCTTACATGACTGATAATATTAGTGTTAAATATTAGTTTAAAACACAAAAGAGAGTCTTTGGACAGGGTGTTTTCTATAGGATTTACTCCTGCGTGAGTTTAGACTCTTTAAATTATTGAGAAAGTCTTACTGGTAATTTGAATTTGARAGGTTAGTAATTTTACCAAATTAGCAGATTATTTTGATAAGAACGCAGACGAGGAAGGGAGATCATTTATCAACTTGCATCAGCTTGAAAGTTTATAACCATACCTGACACAGACTTCTCACCACCCATGATGATGAGTCAGAGCGTCCTGTGGTGGAAAATGAGACCGTGCACGTACTGGTCTGCCTGGTCAGCACACCAAGTGGCTTGGACCCCAGAGAGTCTGTTGAGATTCACAGCTTGTCCAAAAAGTCCCTCGGGACAGGAGGGTTACGATGGTGGAGATGAGGCAGGCCCAAAGTTSTTCGGCTGATGAAGCAGGAATCAGGCCACGTGTGAGCTGGAGCAGTTCTCATTGTCTCTCTTTTTCTCGCTCTGCTAGATTTATAACAACAGCTCTGAGCAAAACGGCTCTTTTACTTAGGTTAACAAAAATAACGAAAAAATGGAGAGGAGGTCACGCCAAGGAAACAGACAGACGGACTACAAAAAGCAAAGTAAAGTGCAGTCGTCTTCCCGAACGCTTTCTATGCAAAGTCTGATAACACACCGGGACACCCAGACTGTTGACTCCGGAAAACCTTGGGGATTGTTTGGAGTTTTAGTTCACTCTGTCCAAGGAGTCTTCATTTCACAAACGTTTCCTTTTTCAAAAATAAAAAAGCACTTTATCTTTGCAGCTGAGTCAGTGTTTTGTGAACGATACAGGCGTAAAAAGAAATGGACGTGATTTAGTWCCTGAATTTTGAAGAGAATAGTTTTGACATCTAGAAAAAATGGTTATAAGTCAGAGGCAGTGGCAGCAACAGATAGTTTATAAGGGTGGCCAGACTGGGACCACTGGTCGCACAGGGGTGGCCCAGAAAAATTACACATTTTTCCTGGAAGACAGTTTGTTGACGTAAACAGTTTTTTTTTTTTTGGTTATTCTTTAATTTACTTACACAGACAGTGACTACCACAATCAGTTCCATATTTGAGCAGTGCAGTTGAAATGAACGTTGTATAGAAAAGGCTTTGCTAAAATAATGCTAGCAAAGTGGCATGTGTGGTGGCCACTTGGTTGGTCAAAGGTTTTATAWGGTGGCCATGACAATCCCTTTGTTCCGCCCCTGGTTAGATTTCACTGTAAATGAGGGTCTTCAAATGTTACAACTGGCAGTACAGAAAAACTTGTAATAATAATAGATAGGCTGTAAGTTTTTCAGTATTTTTCATGTATCTGAGAGTGATTGTGTCTATGTACCACAAAGTCACAAAAGTCTGGGTGCAGTCTTTGCACYCTGGGGATTTGAGAGAAATGCAGTTGGATACAATAAATGAAAGAATACAAACTGCACTACTCTTTTCCTTGGGTGGTTCCACTCCACTTCAAACTCAGGTACCAGAGGCCGGAGAGTTTGAGGGTTCTGTTAGCTGTTAGTGATCTCTTAGGATCACTGGATCTGTTGAGTTCACTCTTCCAGTTCGGGGGTCACACCACCAASRGCTCTGATGACCACWGATGCTTTGACTCTCCACAACTTCTCRATTTCCTTGTTCAGTCATTCTAATTCTTGCAGTGCTCCTTCTTCCTGATGTTACAGTCACTTGGGATTGATCCATTTATCTGCACTGCCGTCTTCTGTAGTTTGTCAACCACAATTTCCAGTTGGAAACATCACCWGTTTGTCTGGATTGGGAAGTCCTACAGTAGGGCCTACCTTAGCTCTGACATTCTCCACCACCCGTGGTGAAGTCTACAGCTCAAACAAATTGCAAACTTGGCTCCAAACAAAAGTACAATGAATATTTCAAGAAACCCTGTGGAAAGTGGAGACGGGTGATGTTTTTTTTTTAATCGGGTAGAATCAGATTTAGTCAAGTGATCGGGCCGATCCTGTTTTCACGACTGTTTTCAGCATCATCATGCTTTACAACTGCTGCTAAGAAGTCAAGACGCACACAWGTATGCAGCCATGTCCACAGTGTGGGAACACTTTTCAATGGAAAACAATGATGCTSAAACTGCATCTTGCAAAATCTGCAAACTGGATGTTTCTCATGGTGGGAACAGCAGGGCTCACTTTACCAGCCTTGTCACTTGGAAAGAAATAAAGAAATAAAGCTATCAGATCTGTATCGGATCGGTATAGGAAAGACCAATCATTAAAAATATCGGATTGTATCGAGAGCCAAAAAATCTGGATCAGGACATCCCTAATAAAAACAGTTTGGAGTATAAGGCATGGGCTGACTCATGTCAAACAAAAGTCTGTTTTGTCCAAAAATAAGTTTATTMAAAGATCCAGGTTCTTACGGTTTGTTGTGGAATAACCTGAGTAGTGGACCTCAGGTTAATTGAATATTTTGGTCATTACCAATACTCACCATAACAAGGCTTAGGTGAGGCTGATCAGGTAGGCTATGATTTGTGTCTTTAGCAAATATGTTAGTTGAAAAGACAAAAATAAAGAAACTGCTCTTCAGCTTCTGTTTTCTTATTTATAACAAACATATAGACTGTGAAAGCTACTCATTTCAAATCATAAAAAAACTGGCAAAAAAATCATAAACAGATCAAAACGTGTTTTTCTGCAGATCCTGATGAGTGATTTGTTTACATTGAGTCCATACATAGCCTACCAACATCAACAAAGGTCTGTCATAAAGGGTGCTTTTTGGTATTTWTTTTAGTATTTTCTGAAGTGGCACTTGTTCTAAAAAGTGTCAGAACCTCTGTTACTTTWAGAACAGTGCTTTTCACACTTCACATGATTATCGTTTAGGGCAGTGCTTCCCAAACTTTTTATCTTCTGACCCACAAAATATCCATGGCAAAAATTTGTGACCCCAAATATTACTGGTC